TAATAGAAGATTATTTCTTTCGGTTACATCAGTGTATATCCATTTTGTACTGAATGTGTTAATTGTAGTGGCTTTACGCAAAAAATTCAAACACTTAAGAACCGACACTTTATTATCACCTTTTATATCGTCAAATTGTTTTCTCTTGCTGATTTAAGCTCATACAATTAAGATTATGTATTGGCTTTTTTATTTCTTGTAAAAGTTGCATTTTCAAGAAGGAAGTGAAGCCTTGTAATGATTTGTTGCTTAAGCTAATCACATGAATAGTTCTCTGTTTCATTTATTTTTAGTGAGTAGATAGTCAGCAACTTGTGTTTGCTGCAGAGCACTGAAGGACTTATAAATAATACATGGTTCTTGCTCACTCTTGAAAGCAAGTGCAGACCACTTCAGGATACAAGATGAGTGTAATGTCATTCTAAAGATGTAGATCTACTTAGTGCACTGGATTTGTCTGGTTTCGAAAGAGGCCAGTGCTCAAGTGGAGAAGTATTTGTTTTCAATCTGAGAAAACGGCGTAGTAGCAAAGCAGTCAAATGTGCAAATAAGAAGCAGCGAGTATGTGCTCTGAATTTTGAGGTTTTAGCTGAGTTGACTGTATCATATATTCCATTATGCACCTGTTCTGTGTAAGATCAGAAAAGAAAAATAGAACTTCAGTAAAGATCCTAGCACTTACAAACAGTTTATGCTGAAGTTGTCTGAGAAACCAATTGTCAATCTGTCTTTTTTCCATTTCATTCAGGTTCTTAAACCACTAGATGTGAAAACTAAGTTCTACAATGCTGAGGTAAGTGTGAGCTGTGTGTATTTGGTTTTGTTTTGGTGTGCTGGCTTTACTACTTCACATTGGGTGTTAGATTAAATTAAAAGAGCTTCTTAAATACACGTTTCTGAGAAAGATGATCAGTTCTAAAGGGAAAAAAATTAAGTGGTGGGTTTATATGATTTAGTTTAACAATAGATAACTTTTGATGAAAGGAGGAAAGAAATTATACCTAAGGCAGACATGTCAGGACCTTAATGCAATTGCTTGAACATTTTGCATGTTTTCTGCTTTCCCATGTACTTTCAATTATTGCTTGTATATTTAGGCAGACAGTGCTTAATGTAAGGGAGATTAATTGTTCACAAAGCAGACAACAGTTTACCAGATTGGGGAAATGTAAATTTCCCCAATGTAAATATGAATCCTCTGTTCAATAGTTTAGTTTTTAGGTTTGTGACAGTTATACACAGTGCTCTAAAACTAAATGACCTTATATATGCCTTGTGTATTTATTTGGACATACTTAGGCATCTGTCTTTGGCTATTTATGGGAAGAATTTTAACTGAAGGTGACACAGTGGAAACTCTTACAAATTATATACAGCATTCTTTTCATTTGTAGACATTCCATGTGGATATATGTATTATATATGCCTGTTGTAGGGTATAAATTTCTGCAATATCTCATTACATAGGAAGTTAGGACATTTGTTTCCATCATTATCACTTAGCTGCTTTGTGGCAGTGACTAAGTAAGCTTAATTTTGATTCTGTATTTTTTGTAGGAAGTTCAGATTGATACTTTGAGAACTTTCATTATGAGTGTTAAACTTTTTCCATAACCCCTGAAATATGGTCAGCTACTACACTGCTAGTCGTTTGATCGGAAACTTTCAGTAGTATTCTTAAACAGTTTGTCTGAAATAGTTTAAAAGATAGAATGAAGTTAGAGGTGTTTTATGTTGCAGTGAATAGAAGATGGGAGAAAAAAGACCAAAGTGTCAGTGAGAGAAGAATAAAATCTATAGAATTTTGGCAATTTGAAAAATAACTTGTGTTAAGCTAAGTTGAAAATATTTTACTCTCCTGCTTGTTGTTAACTAAGCAGATATATGTGCTATGAATTTGCATGTAGAAAAGCAGAGAGTCTCCAAATCTATTGTTCTAATGATTTATCTCCATCATAGTCACACCTGAGTTTCATCATGCAACATTATGGCTATAGAGGTGTGAAAGATATGTTTCTTTCCCTTCCTAACATTCTCAATAGAGGAAAAAAGGGAGAAATAACAGATAAGAATTTCTGCTCTACAAATTAGGATTCCAGATATAAAGATCTGTCTTGTTCAGAGTTGTGCAGAAAACTTTCCATAAAGATTTTCACTTGGCTGTGAATAATTAGCAATGTAAATTATGAGACATGTAATATATAGCGTGTAATTTATTTAGAGGATAAATCAAGGCATAGGTCACAAGTGATTTAAATATGATAATACAGAGGAAAAGAAAAATATTTTCCTAAAAATGTCTTGGTACATGTATCTAGACCACAGCCTTCAATCCTTAGGTTGATTAGGTGTGAGATACCTGAGTAGTGTTGAAACGTAAGCACATACACTGGTTGAGTGCTTTATTGAACTGGTGTTATCTGTAAATGGGAATGTCTGAGAATGTCCTGCTGTGACATAAGAACAAAAATAATCCTAAGAAACTAGGTAATTGCTCTGGGAACAAAATAAACCTTCATTTTGTGTGTGAATTATATTATTGTTTCAGATAGAAAATATGTGGTAAAGGAAAGAAGGACAGATAAATGAAATGTTGCTGTCTCTCTGTACTTCATGTGTAAATTTTGTTTTGTGCTGAAACACTTCATAACAAATGGAAATAAAAACCTCTTTAAGGTAAATTCAGAGCAAACTTTTGACATAGGTCAAAAATACTCTTTTCTTACAAAATTGTTTTACTGACTGGCCTCGATAAGAAGGGACTTGATAAACTCCATTCCTCAATGAGCCACCAGTTCCTCATGATAAAGATCTATGAGAAGCTTTGGTGTGTGAGCTGGTATTTGTGGGTCTTTGGTTTTGTTGTTAGGGTTTTTTTTCCCCTGTAAAGCTTTTAAAAGGCTGTTTGATGCCTTTTGTTCTTCCTGTTCAGGAATTTATGCAAGTCTCATTACTGTAGTATCCATATGATTGATTGAAAATAAAGTTTTTAAGATTTTTGGATGCAATTAACTGAGCATTTTTAATTTGCCTAGCAAACTGATATAGTATCATTCATATTTCATTTCGGAAAGTGTATAAACTGCTACTGTGTCTTGTGACGGCAGAAGTCAAATAAGATTAAAAAACCTAGAAGTAAGTCTTTAGGTAGATGTTGTATGTGATACTACATTGCTATTAAAGCACCACGACCTTCATCCTGAATGTTAGAGAAAGACCATTATCCTTGGGAGCCGGGGAGGGAAAAAAAAAAATTGTGTCAGTCCTATAGTTAACTAAAGGTCTTTAAAGGTTGACTAACCAGTTAAACTGTTACCATTAATATTACAAATGTGATGCTATCTATTCATAAAGTTTGTCACTAAAATTATTTTCTACTAGAAATTATAATCCATAATTTCATTTTTTCTAAGACAAGAAATGACGCTGAACCTTAATTTTCTTGCTTGTTGCTCATATTGCCGTAGCATCCAAATCAAGTTGATCATTCAAATTTGTGCACAGAACGCATGCCCTGTCGCCCTAACCTGCTGCAATCCTGAGACTGAATTACCTGCCCTGATCTCTAGAAAGTCTCTTACATAGTTTGTTTGGTGTGCCTTGGAAAAGACTCTGTCAAAGGTTCTGCTCCTGCAAACATATACAGGGAGACAAATACGCAGACACTTAAGAAAACAAAGTTTGCTGTTAAAGTTAGGTTTTTGGAATGACGGATATTCAAAAAAGAGTTTTTCCTGATTCTGTTATGCCAAATTTTGTTATAAACTGCAGTATTGTAGCTTTGCTAGAACACATTACCATGTTATTTTTATTTTGAGACCTTATGTATGTGGATACTTCAAATCATCTGTAAAATAATATGGACTGTTTTTCCATTTCATACACAACCCATTGCATGGATTTAAATTCAGGACAAGCTTTAAACTTGCTCAAAAACTAACATTTTTTTTGGATCAGTTTGTTCTACCTTGTCTTATCTGTGACTTGTGTGCCTTAGGCTCTACTTTGGATTGGTTCTGAAGCAAAGCTAGTAAACCATGTAACCGACCAGCTATAACTTATTAGAAATGTAGTTTCATCTTTGTTTGCATCCATTTTTATTTACGTTTCTGTCTTACTAATGCTATCTTGTTTAGATGGTGCAAAAAAAATGCAGAAATGCATTTTATTTGAAAGTTAGCCTCCTTTTTCTTTAACATTTAACCCTAATTTCTCTAATGTGTTTTTTTTTTATTTTCCCATTAGAGTGACCTCAGTTCTGTGGTAATTTTTATTTATTTTTTTATGAATATATATGCTTTTTTAATTGCCTATCTGTCTCTGTGCTTGTTGACATTCTTTTAAAAACATAATGGAAAAGCAATGTTTGTTCTGCATTTCATGAACTGATGTTTTCTCATCCTTATCTGTGCGGCTAATCATTTAAATGGTTAGCTCTTTCTTTGACACCCATTGTTGAACCTAAAAGTTGATTATTACAGAATCTTGCCTGTGGGGATCCTCCTGTAAAATACCTGACCAAAATTTTACTAGATTCATTATTTGAAAACAGGAGTTAATCCCTTCTAAAATTTCCCTTCTTCTGACCCATAGAAATGTAGGTTTTACTACAGCACTGCTTGTTTAAGCTGTGACAGAACTTTTCTCATCTGGTTGGTGGAGACAGTGGGTTTGAGGAGAGAGCGGTGGTTGGATGTTCTTCCTTCCTTTCGCTAGCTGGAGCTGCACTTTCCAACTTTTAACTGCATGTAACAGTCAATGAGTTAGTATGATACTTAGGCAGTCTGATTTCACTTTAAGGTGTGCCTTGTATTAAAATAAACTGCATTTTTCTGAAGCACTTGAGGATTTTTATTTTTTTTAAACTGTGTGATATTAAACCAATGTAGGAATAACACAAAACTAACTTGCTTTTTCATTATCCTGCTTGTTTCTTCATTCCCTTTCAAATGAGCTTTTTCTAAATTTCTGCCTATGGTTGCTGCATTGAAAATAACTAAAGTTTGGGTAAATAGACACTTTGAGCAATGGATTTATGGGATATAAACAGTATCAATTTAAGTGACAGTCAGCTGGTGGTAGTAATGATTACTGAGAGCCATGTTTTAGTTGGGTTATTTCCAGCTCCTGCAAGCGTGAGGTCTGTCCATAACCCGTGGAGCTTGCACAGTTTTCATTACTATATATATGCTATCATCCAGTTTGTGTTTAACATGTTTATAAAGCACAACAAATATTTCCAGTACCATTTGGTATTTCTCCTTCTAACACAATGCCTTTTGAGACTAAAAATATTTTTAGGATTTTGTCCCACTTTTATTTTGTAATTTACAAGCAGGACTGCATTTGTATAATGAAGTAATTTGTTTACACTGGTTAAAAAGAAACTGTAAGCTTCCTTCCACCTCCCCATAAAAATACTTTTTTTTTTTCTATTTATCATAACAAAATACCTAAGCAGCTTCATATTGAATGTATAGAATAGAATGCTTCAGTTGGAAGGGACCTACAACATCATCTAGTCCAACTGCCTGAATCAATGACTTTCTTGTAAATGCAGATTTGATACCTCCCTCTGTTTTCCAATTGGCAATTCTTTGGTTTTATTTTTGACTTCTCCAGGGGCTCGTATCTCTGATAGTCTGAGCCTTCTGTAATTATTCTGTTGTGAGATTTTAGAGCTGCAAAGTGGCTTCACTGATACTCAACTCCACAGAAGCAGTGAGGCAAAACCACCTCTAGTTCCATGTTTTTTCAGCTTCTGAAATTTTACAATTTGTTGCTTTCATTCCTATATTAGAATTGGTCCTTATATACCATCTTAAGGCATTAGCTTCATTTAATGGATATGTCTTATAGGATGTTTTGAAAGTAGAACACCAGTTAAATTGTTGGATGCATGTGATATTGGTAACCATTGGCATGATGCAGCTGAGTGAAAGAGGAGGCTGGTCTTTGATTTTTAGCCAGTACATCAATATTTGATAATAATAAGAAAAAAATCTCAGAGCATGTACCTGAACTATTTTACTTCAGTTGAAGAAAATGCACACACTTATTTTAATTTTTTTTGTACAGCTTGATGCGCTAGTAATTTGGCATGGCATGTTGTTGTGCACTGCAATTCCTTACCATTTATTCTATTTTTCATTTCTTAACAATTTGGGTTAAAAACAGAGTTGATGAAAGTCTTGGGAAGTGGATCTGATGCATTACAAACAAGCAATAGCTAGAACATAGCGAAATTATCCCACATCCATTGTTTGGCAAGATACCTCTTGACTAACACTTTTGCTCCTGTTGTTACTGGGATTAAGGTTTTTTCTTGCATTAATTAATTTGATTTGCAGGCATGAACTAAACATGTGACTTTTTTTTTTAACAGTAGGATTGTTTACTCTTGTTAGTAACATTAATCACGTTTTCATGAGTTTGCACTTTTTTTTTTTTCAGACAGATGAAGTGTTTCTGGAAGCTCAGATTCAGAATATCACTACTTCTCCAATGTTTATGGAGAAGGTTTCTTTAGAGCCATCTATGATGTACAACGTTGCAGAGCTGAACACAGTTGACAGAGGAGGGGAAGGGTATGTTCAGATTTGGGATAGTTGACTTTGAAACTCTTTGTATTGTGATTTTATGTGATATAAGCATTACAGTTAGAAAATAGTCTGTAATGGAAGGATTATGCTTCATTGCTTGATTAAAAAGAATTGAATTCCTCTTATGTTTTCAGCTGGAAAAGCTGTTAGTTTTCAATTTATAGAAACTGTTCTTAAAACTTTGTAATTCTACTTAGTAGAGAAAACTCTAGCTTAATCCTCAAATAATTGGTAACATGGATGACATGGCAATATAGAATCCAAAATGGTTTGGGTTGGAAGGGACCTTAAAGATCATCTAGTTACAACCCTCCCTGCCGTGCACAGAGACACCTTCCACTAGATCAGGTTGCTCAAAGCCTCATCCAACCTGACCTTGAACACTTCCAGGGATGGGATGTCCACAGCTTCTCTGGGCAACCTGTTCCAGTATCTCCTATATAAAATTTAGCCCACATCTTGTTCTGACTTGATCTGTGTATACATGCTTAGCCTTACAGGACCGATCTGACTTGTCCTTGCTTCCTTCTAGTAGACTGGTAACTGTTTTCAATTGTTCTAATCGAGATCTAGCAAGGCAGCAGTCAAGGTGAATTGGTGTGTTGTGGTTTAGCCCAGCTGGCAGCTAAGCACCACGCAGCCATTTCCTTACTCCTCCCTGCTGAAATAGGGAGGAGAAAATATAACAAAAGGCTGGAGGGTCAAGACAGGGACAGGGAGTGATCACTCACCAATTAGGGTCATGGGCAAAACAGACTCAGAGGAAAAAAAAAATCAATTTAATTTGTTGCCAATCACATCAGAAAGGATAACAAGAAACAAAGCCACATCTTAAAAACACCTTCTACCCACTCCTCCCTTCTTCTTGGGCTCAACTTTACTCCCAGTTTCTCTGCCTCCTCCCCTCAAGCAGCATAGGGTGACAGCGAATGGCGGTTATGGTCAGTTTGATACACATTGTTTCTGTGGCCCCTTCCTCAGGGGGAGGGATCCTCACACTTTTCCCCTGCTCCAGTGTGGGGTCCCTCCCACAGGAGACAGTCCTCTGTGGACTTCAATGGGAATCCTTCCCACGGGCTGCAGTTCTTCATGAACTGCTCCAGTGTGGGTCCCTCCCACAGGGTGCAGTCCTTCAGGAACAGACTGCTCCAGTGCAAGCTTCCCATGAAGTCACGGCCTTCTTCCGGCACAGCCACCTGCTCTGGTGCGGGACCCTCCATGGGCTGTGGGTGGGTCTCTGCTCCACCATTAACCTCCACGGGCGACTGGGGGGCCGCTCCTCTCTCACCATGGGCTGCAGGGGAGCCTCAGCTCTGGCATACCAACTCCCGCTCCATCTTGGCTGACGTTGGTGTCTGCAGAGTTGTTTCTCTCGGATCTCACTCCTCTCTCCTCACTGCCATGCTGGGTCCACGCAGCCCGATGAGCCCTGGTGGCCCTGGCAGGATGAGTTCCACCCAGCAGGCACCCTGGGAGCAGGGAGCTTTGGAGTGCTCCAAGCTGCACTGCCACAGCTGTGTCTTCCCCCTCTCTACTCTGTAGGTCCTGCATGGTGCAGGTTTGTTTTCCTTCTTAAATATGTTTATTTACAGAGGTGCTGATGGGCTCGGCCCTGGCCAGAGTCAGGTCTGACTTGGAGCTTGGGAAGCCTCTAGCAGCTTCTTACAGGATCCATCCCGTAGCCCCTCCTCTGCTACCAAACCCCCTCCACACAAATGCAACTCAGGGTGGAATGCCATTATAGGATCTTAGGATATAAAAATTTGTCACGCTGAAGTGAATGAATAATTAATTTTTTAATTAATTAATCATAAATGCTTCTGCATTATGGCCTGAGGTGAAAATTCTGTCTTCTCCCTGCCTGTCGAAGGGTTCACCTGCAGCACAGTGGAGCATTGTTCTTACAAAGTGTTTGCATCCGCTGTGATGGTTCTTCTGCTGAATGGGAATCTTAGGCTTATGACACTGAGATTTACTGGGAGGGAACCAAATAACAGAAGTAAAATTACCAGCATTGTCCTTTAAATGCTAAGATGGCAGATAATAAATTATAATGTATCAAAGTGGATTTCCACCTCAGTTCTCTGGCTCAACTGAATCTTCATTTTTTGACCCCTTGGTACTTGATGCTACATCATTCTAGAATTGTCTTCTATTGTGAAAACACAAAAATATTCTATGTGCTTTGCCATGAATAAAATACACACACAGTAAGACTGGTAAGGGATGGGAAAAAAGGTTGGGTTCTTAAGTCTTCTTAAAAATAACTGTTTAAATTAATATGTAATGTTTTTTTCTTTTAGGGAGTCTACTTTTGGCTCAAGGACTTATTTACAACCTATGGATACACGTCAATACTTATACTGCCTAAAACCAAAGCAAGAATTTGCAGAGAAAGCTGGAGTAATAAAAGGTGTAACTGTGATTGGTAAATTAGACATTGTATGGAAAACTAATCTGGGTGAACGAGGAAGGCTGCAAACTAGCCAGCTCCAAAGAATGGTAAGTTTAACTTAAGCATCAATTTAACTTAGCATCCATTTTTAAGGCAACTCAATGAACAATTTAATAATGACTTAAGGAAAAGTTCATGCTGCTTGCTTTCTGGACATCACTCTGGATTCACATGTTTCTATACATTTTTGAGAAAGTTATTTAATATGTTTGGTAAGTGAAATATGAAGAAAACATTATTCTGAGGGACTGTAGCTGAATAAAAGCATTTTTGTTCCTTTTGGCCATGTAAACAGCAACATATTTTGTTTCCTTGAATCATAGAATCCTAGAATGGTTTGGGTTGGAAGGGACCTTAAAAGATCATCTAGTTCCAACCCCCCTGCCATGGGCAGGGACACCTTCCCTAGGTCAGGTTGCTCAAAGCCTCATCCAACCTGACCTTGAACACTTCTAGGGATGGGGCATCCACAGCTTCTCTGGGCAACCTGTTCCAGTGCCTCACCACCCTCAGAGTTGTCCTAGTTTCATCTGGGACAGAGTTAGTTCTTCTTTTTAACTAGCTAGAAGAGCTCGGAGTGCACTCGGCTCTGAGTGCTGTCTCTCTCATCCTCTCTTTTCGAGACTCTCACTCATCTGGGATAGCAGTGTCGGGACTTATCTGTTTTGAGATCATTAGTCCAGGACAGGACGGGTCTTGGTCACTGGGTGGTGAGCAATTATACACTGCATCACTTATTTGTATATTGTTTTCATTGTACATATATATATATTCATACTAGTATTAAATTGTTCTTATCTTAACCCATGGGTCTCCTTCCCTTTCCCCTTTAATTCTTCTTCCCATTTCCCCCGGGGGGGAGGGGGGGGGGTGGCTACGTGACATTTAGTTGCTATCTGGCCTAAACCACAACAAGAGTGAAGGTTTTCTTTCTTATATCTCATCTAAATCTGCCCTCTTTCAGTTTAAAGCCATTACCCCTTGTCCTATCACTACATGCCCTTCTAAAAAGTCCCTCTCCAGCTTTCTTGTAGGCCCCCTTGAAGTACTGGAAGGCTGCTAGAAGGTCTCCTTGTGTTGCAGAACCTCACAAAACCAAGCCAGACTGACTAACTAACTAGAAATGGGATTTATTTTTTTTACAAGGTGGTAACAAAATCAAACTAAGCTTTTTCCTAACCAAAACAACTTAGAAGCTCCAACAAACATTAACAATCCACAGGTTCAGAATGCTGTCGAAAGTTAATACTACACAACTGACTTCAGAATTCTTAAGTTTATGCCTGATGACCCAAATTGCACACTCACTCACTTAAAAAAAGGGAGAGTTGTCAACCTTGAGGAGTTTCCTTGAGCAATATCCTGACCCAAGGGGAGAGTTCCTGACTGCAGACTCATTGCAGCAAGAGGGACCAACTCAAAACAGCTCTCTGGCAAGGCTCCTTTTATACCCTAGTTGAATTTGATCTGTGGTCAAATATTATTATGTGGCACAGCTGTTGGCTGAGGATCCCAACTTCCTCACCTTTTGACCAGAATGCGTAAGTGCTGACTACTATTGTCTGAGTGTGACAAGAGCTATGGTGGGAAGTTTTTGTGGGCTTTTGTCTGGTCTTTGTCAAGGTGAGTGCATCTGCCACACCCTGGAGCCTTCTCTTCTCCAGGCTGAACAACCCCAACTCTCTCAGCCTGTCTTCAGAGGAGAGGTGCTCCAGCCCTTGGATCATCTTTGTGGCCCTCCTCTGGACCGGCTCCAGCAGCTCTGTGTCCTTCTTGTGTTGTGGGCTCCAGAACTGAATGCAGTACTTCAGGTCAGGTCTCACAAGAGGAGAGTGGCAGAATCACCTCCCTCAACCTGCTGGCCACACTTCTTTGGATGCAGCCCAGGACACGGTTGGCTTTCTGGGATGCCAGCGCACATTACCGGCTCACGTTGAACTTCTCATCAACCAACACCCCTAAGTCCTTCTCCTCAGGGCTGCTCTCAATCCATTCTCTGCCCAGCCTGTACTTGTGCTTGGGATTGCCCCAACCCACGTGCAGGACCTTGCACTTGGCCTTGTTGAACTTCATTAGGTTTGCACAGGCCCATCTCTCCAGCCTGTCAAGGTCCCTCTAAATGGCATCCCTTCCCTCCAGCATGTCCACCACACCACACAGCTTGATGTCAGCAAGCAAACTTGATGAGGATGCACTGGATCCCACTGTCCATGTTACTGACCAAGATATTAAACAGCACCAGCCCCAATACCGATCCCTGAGGAACGCCACTCGTCACTGGTCTCCACTTGGACATCAAGCCATTGACCACAACTCTTTGAGTGCAACCATCCAGACAATTCCTTATCCACCGTGTGGTCCATTAATCAAATCCATGTCTCTCCAATTTAGAGAAAAGGATGTTATGCGGGACAGTGTCAAATGGTTTAGACAAGTCCAGGTGGATTTCATTACTTGCTTTTCCCTTACACTCCAACGCTGTAACCCTATCGTAGAAGGCCACCAAACTTGTCAGGCATAAGTTGCCCTTAGTGAAGCCGTGTTCACTGTTACCAATCACGTCCTTGTTTTCTATGTGCATTAGCATAGTTTCCAGGAGGATCTGCTCCATCATCTTGCTGGGCACAGAAGTGAAACTGACTAGCCTGTAGTTCCCTGGGTCTTCCTTTTTTCTCTTTAAAAATGGGGGCTATGTTTCCCCTTTTCCAGCCAGTGGGAACTTCACCAGACTGCCACAACTTCTCAAATATGATGGATAATGGCTTAGCAACTTAATCTGCCAGTTCCCTCAGGACCCACGGATGCACCTCATCAGGTCCCATGAACTTCTGCACCTGGGTAACCAGGTCCCCCATTTCCTTCTGGAGAGGGCCCACGTTTTCCCTAGTCCTCCTTTTATCACTGACATACCTATAGAAGCTTTTCTTGTTGCCCTTGATGTCCCTGGCCAGACTTAACTCTATCAGGGCTTTAGCTTTCCTAACCTGATCCCTGGCTGCTCAAACAATTTCTCTGTATTCTTCCCAGGCTGCCTGTCCTTGCTTCCACCCTCTGTAGGCCTTCTTTTTGCATTTGAGTTGGTCCAGGAGCAACTTGTTCATCCATGCAGGCCTCCTGGTGTTCCTGCCTGACTTCCTCTTTGTTGGGATTCACTGCTCCTGAGCTTGGAGGAGGTGATCCTTGAATATTAACCAGCTTTCTTGAGCCCCTCTTTGCCCTAGGGCTTTATCCCATCGTACTCGACCAAGTAGATTCCTGAGGAGGCCGAAGTCTGCTCTCTTCCACCATTGCATAGTCACTATAGCCGAGGCTGCGCTTGAGCTTCACGTTCCCCACCAGCCCCTCCTTGTTGGTGAGAACAAGGTCCAGCAAAGCACCTCTCCTCGTGGGTTGCTCTATCATTTGGAGAAAGAAGTTATCATCGGTACATGCCAAGAACCTCCTGGATTGCCTATGCCCTGCTGTGTTGTGCCTCCAACAGATACCAGGGTGGTTGAAGTCCCCCATGAGGAGCAGGGCTCTTGAATGTCAGGCTGCTCCTATCTGTCTGTAGAGAGCCTTATCCTCTCTATCTTCCTGGTCAGGTGGCCCGTAGCAGAGCCCCACTATAATGTCACTGGTACCTGTCCTCCCTCTAATCCTGCTTTAATCCCGAGTTTTCAGTCAGCTCATCCATCACCAGGTGGAGCTTCATGCACTCCAGCTGCTCCTTGACATAGAGCGTGACACCTCCTCCTTGTCTCCCCTGCCTGTCCTTCCTTAAGAGCCTGTATCCTTCCTTTTCAACACTCCAGTCATAGGAGCCATCCCACCGCATCTCTTGATTAAGTCTATTCTGTTCTGGTTGATTTATAAATATTCATTAATTTTAAGTTGTAATTACTAGCCTGCTTAAGTCAGCCTTACAGCCTGTCTAGTCTAACGCTTAAGCCTGACTCGCATCTTTTGTATTGAGGATGGTGTGACATGGGAGCCAAGTAAAAAACCTTTGACAATCAAATCTTAGTCTGAGTTTACAAAGCTTGTAATTGGGATTCTGCCTCTGTCTGCCCCCTGCCCCCTCTGCCCCCAGCTTCTAGTAAATCAAGCAGTTCTGTA